AAAAAAAAAATCCTAAGTAAAATAAAAATAAAATTGAATTTAAACAAATTATTTACCATAAAAGGAGAACGTTTTGAAATATGCTATGAAAATTGTGCAAAATTTTTGTAATTATAATTTTTTGTGCTGTAAAAAAAATCACGTTAAAAAGTAAATTTATTATTGATTTTACTTTACTTTTAAGATCAAAATAATTATCAAAAAATTAAAAAATATTTATTGCTTAATTTTTTTTTCTACTTTGAAAATAATAGAATTGAAAAAACTTTTTATTTTATTTAATATCTTTCTCATAAGACGAAGTTTGATAAAAAAAAATGTTTTTTAAATATAGAAGAAAAATCTGCAAATAAAAATATATTTCCATAAAAAAAATATTAATTTTCAAATAATTTTGAAAATACTCAAAAAATTAAATAAGATAGATGTATTTCTTTCTTGTAATTTATAATCATTTTGCATTTAATATATTGAAAAAATACGTTATTTTCAATATATTTGAATATATATAATATATATAAATTTTTCAAATAATATTATATAATATAATATAATATAATATAATATCTAAATATTTTAGTATATTATTAAATATCTAAATGTTAATTATATAATATTTTATTTTAGACATTTTTTTGTGCTGGATTCTTAACTGGTGTAACAGAAGCAATCTTAATAAATCCATTTGAAGTAATTAAAGTGCAAATGCAATCTAATCGTAAACACATTAGTGATAGTCCATCAACTATTGCTGTAACTCGACATATTCTTTGCAAACAAGGTTTTGGACTAAATGGTCTTAATAAAGGTTTATCTGCTACAATAATGAGAAATGCGATTTTTAATTCTTTTTATTTTGGTATTTATAATTCTATCATTCCTTGGTTAAATAAAAAAAATGACTATACTTCAGAATTATTTCTTAAGGTATATTCTAATATATTATAATGAAATTTATGAAATTATAAAAACAGAAAATACATATATATAGGAAATCTTTAAAAATTATCTAATTTTAATTTTTAATTCTTTTTAAAATTTGCTTTAAAATTTTAAATATTTGAGAATGTATTTTATATGAAATTAATTTGATCTTAGATAAATATCTAATATTATTTTAATATTTTGATTGCTTTTTATACTGAAATATTATGCATTTAATTTTCTACATTTAATTAATTTTAATTTGAAATTTTTTACATTTATATGAATATATTTCTTCATATAATTATTTTTATATAAAAATATTAATATATTAATTAATATATTATATTGTTATAAAGATGCAAATTATAATATATATGATAATGATAATTTTAGAAAAATGAATTAAAAAGATATCTTTATATGATGCAAAATATTTCAATTTGGAAATAATTGGATTGTTCTTAGAATTAATTTAATAATAAGAAATATAAATTTATTGTAAATATAATAATAATATATTACAAGTAAAATATTGAATTAATAATAAGAAACCTATATTTATTGTAAATAAAATAATAATATATTATAAGTAAAATAATGAATTAATAATGATTATAATATCAAAAATACTATTAATGTAATAAACATAATGTATCTTTTTAGTTTACTGTAGGTTTTATATCTGGAACAGTGGCATCCTGTATGAATATACCATTTGATGTTGCTAAAAGTCGTATCCAAGGTCCACAGGAAAAAATTCAGTATAAGGGTACTTTGCAAACTATTTATTTAGTTTATCATAGAGAAGGGTAAGAAATTATTAATTTATATTTTTATACTTTTTTTAGAAAAAAAATAATTATTTTAATATTATTTTTAATATTGAATTTATTTTTTTATTATTATTCAATTATATAATATTCTTTTTTGAATTATTAATTTTTAATATTTTCAAATTTCATAATTACTGCAATTTTTTTTTAACATTGTTTTAATCTATACTATTCATTGTTAAATAAATATTACACAAATTACATAATGAAATTCTTTTTAATATTTATAGTTTGTGAATATCTTTATTTTAGATTTAGAGCTTTATATAAAGGATTGTTACCAAAAATCTTACGATTAGGACCAGGTGGTGCAATTATGCTTATAGTTTATGAAAAAATGAAAATATATTTAAATATGCAGTTTGGCAATTGAGTAAAATTTTAGATTAGTAGTCTGAATTGTGCATTTTTTACTAACATTGTTAAAATTGTTCAAGTAAATAATTCCTTATTATTAGCTTTTTAATATTATAATTGGAATTTATTTTTAGATTTAGCAGTAATAATAATGTTTAACAATTAATAATTCGTTATATAAATATATAAATAATTTAACAATATAAAATAAAGAATTATATCATACAAGAGATTAAATTTATCAGATTTTATATCAAATTTATATATAAATTTATATATAATTTATGTAAATATATATTTTTTTTATAAGAAAATTATAATAATTATATTTTCTATTAAAAATTTGAAATATTTATATAAAAAAAATTAAAATATATTGTAAAAAAAAAAAGAATAGATCTTCATTAATATCATTATTAATTTTGTCTATTTATAAAATAAATTTTTATTTGTTTCATAAATTAATAATTCAATGTTAAATATTAAACTTCAAGGATATTTTTTAATTATTTTGTTAATTAATTTAATATCATCTATTAATTTTTGTCATATGAAAATAAAATATTTCTCAGTAAAAAGAGTATTAAATTACTTATGTAAAGAATTATGAAATTTTTTTTTAATCTTCAAAATTTTTATAAAAATAATAATACAATATATATTAAGACAAAGAAAAATGATTTTTATTCATTTTTTTTATTACAATAAATCTTAATTTAAATGATTTTTATTTATTTTTTTTATTATAAGAAATCTTAATTTAACAAAAGTTTAAAATTGTATATAGAGAATTATATGTAACAAATTTTTTGACACATTTAACATATAACATTTTAAAATAAGAAATAATAAGATAATTAATGAAAATTTTTATTTAATCATCCAATATGGAATCCAACCACTTTTCTAAATCTAAAGATTTAGATGTATTAGATTTAGTTTTTATTTTTGAATCTATAATAAATTTGTATTTGTTATTAATGTATATATTAAAAAAATCACATAAAATATATTATTATAAATATCTACAAATGTATATATGTGTATATAATATACATACCAGTATTACAAGAAAAAGGTAAAGATTTTACAATCATTAAAGGATCATTTATAGGTTCTCGACATGATAATAAAAAATCTAATTCTTCAGTTGTATTTTCTAACGAATCTTGATTTTTGTTTTCATCTTTTGTAATATTTGTAACTATTTCTTCTATATTACTTAATATTTTGTTATATTTCTCTTTTCCTCGTTCAGCATTATTATAAATATCTGTTATCTGGTCATCCTAATAATATTAATATATAAATAATATTTCCTTTTTTCAAGAAATTAATATTGAACTGAATAATTTGATTTAATAATTAAAAAATAATTAAATTATTAAACTTACAGTAAAATATTTTGTATCAATATTAACATTGTTATTAAATGGAATTGCTTCTATTGCTGCAGATAATGTCTTTAGATCTATTGTAAAAAATTCAGAATATTTGGAAATATCAACAGTCCAATCTTTTTCTGATTGAAAAACAAAATGATCATTTTCTGAAATTGGTGCATTTGATAGAAATTCAAAATCCTTTGAGATATTTTCATCTATATCAATGATATCTTCAAAATATTGATTGTTTTTTTTAATTTCTGATTTTTCTTTTTTTTCCTTTTTTTCTTTTATGTTTTTATTTCTAATTTGATATTTGATTAATTTAATGAATGTAAAAAAAAATATATAAAATCATTATATATATATATATATATATATATATA